TCCTGGTGGCCAATTTTAATTTGTTCAGCTAGAAGCATTTGCCGAAAAAACCGGTACCGGTAGCAGCAGAAACTGAGGGAACCATGCAAAAAACGCATCTTCGCACGGGCAGCCCGTGCGTTGGCCAGTTATTTCGGTATGATTTAGGACTGGCTGCGTTCAAAAGGAAATGATGGTAATATACACCAGTGACATCTCGAAATGACTAACTTCCTGGAAAATTTGCTCCTGCCGGGCAAGTCGTTCAGTTAGTGATCACTTCAGGAGAGGAAGGAATCGCCAGCAAGCTGACCAGAAGAAGATTGGTCAAAGCAGTTGCAAAGTTGCCACGTGCACAGTAGGTGAACCAGATGGTCAAATGGCAGCTGTTCGGGATATTACTTTTCACGAGTAAAAAGCATTAGCTATTGTTAGACAGCCCACGCCCGGCATGTGCTAAAATTCCAGTAATATCACTATAAACGGATACCAACACTGGTAGTCCGAATCATCTTGGCAAGAAGCACAAACAAGCATTTTTTCATTAATTCTTATTACATAATTATAATTTCGCCAGCTGTTTTTCCAGTTGCTTTGACCTTTGCTGCGTCGCCTGGTGGCCATTATACTGATTAGCAATCCTGGCGTTTGTCTCCTCTTCTAAAGGAATTATCAGTTTTGCGGTTTTCCGACAGAAGCACTTGGGCTGCAGTTGTTTTGAGATGTCATTGGAGCATATTGAATATCAACTTCTTAAATACTCCCCTATCAGAAAGGGATGAGGTGTTTAAAACAGGATGGTAATGCCGAAACATGAAATATCTTTGTAATACAGGTGATAGAGCGAGTGATTATTTATCAGATTTTTATCAACTGAAAGCTTATTTTGAGATTCTAAACTCAATGCGCACCTTCAAATTTATTGCTGAGTGTCGCCCAAACTTTATAAAGCCTTGGTTTACTGCCATTTGCGTGAATACCTGCAAGCCTAATATGCTCCTTCTCTGAGCTGTTTTTTGCAAGAAAATTTATCGGCTGATTACTGTTCTTGATTTTACAGCTCCAGGAAAGTGAAAAATTACCTGCAGTATCTTTCACATCCTGGAATCCTTTCACTACACCTCCTTCAGCTGTGCCTACTGCTCGGCCTGCAAAAAAAGCAGAATTTGCAACCATCAGCAAGAAGGCGAAATTTTGCATCATCCGGAAAAATCCGGGACGCTTGACCTGGATAACTTCTGCAGCTTGTTACATCTCCAAAAATGTCAACCTAAATCAAATAAAAATCTGCCCATATCTCGAAACCCAAAGGCTGGCTAGATGAGCAGATGGGTGTCAAACTTTGCAGGAAAGAGGAAATTGGTTGTCCTCAATGGCAGACGTAGGGCAAAAGCACAAAGTTGACTACGCAAAAACTTCTTTTCATATTTAGCCTGAAGGCTTCTGGCCTAATTGTCGAGAGCCGATACTTTACCCAAATCAAGCACCACATAAACTGAGAAATTCTTAAAAATTATTGCCAGCTTACTAAGTGTCCGGAAGCACCGATCACAGATAATCTGTGTATTTGATTAAATATTTTTAGTTATAATTCTTAAAAATTATTAAAATGTTTTTTAGTTATTGGTTTAAAAAACAGTTGAATTGTTTTTATGCATAACCCAAAATTGAGTTTCGAAAAAATTTATTAAAACTTGCATGTGTTTATTAAAAAACACTTAAAATATCAAAATACAACTACAGAAAATGAAAAATTTTCACATTATGCGTTTTTGCAATGCAGAAAACGCATATTGACGAAGGGTTGTCTGTGTGTGTGTGTGTGTGTCTGTTTGTCCGGCTATCACGGTTTTTCATCTCAAAATCTACAAAAACTACAAGAGCTGAAACTTTGGGAACTTGATCTACATACACATATGGGGCCCAATCCCAAAAACGGGCGCTCTTACCCGCGTGGCACCCATGCACGGTCCGTGAAAGTTTTTTGCGAGTAAGTCGGTAACTCATGAACCAGAAAAGCTAGAAGTCTGAAATTTTAAGGGGACGCTTCCCCTTCAAGTAGGTATTAATGAGCTCAAACCCAGCCCCCGGGTAAGCGCAGTACCCACGTAAGGGCCCGTAAGATTTTTTTCAGGTAGAACGCTAACTCAAGAATTTGAAAAGCTAGAAAACTGTAATTTTAAGGGAATGTTCCCCATTCATGTGGGTATTAATGAGCTTAGACCCAGACACCGAGTATGCGTGGCACCCATGTATGGGCCTGTGAAAATTTTTTTGGTTAAGTTGTTAACTCGGGAATCTGAGAAGCTAGAAGATTGGAATTTTGAAGGGATGTTTTCTGACAGTCCTGGCGGCCAGTTTGAAATTCTTTTAGCTAGAAGCATCTGCCGGAAAAGACGGTGCCGTTAGCGACAAAAATCTGCGAAGAACTATGCAAAAAACGCATTTTCGTACGGGCAGCCCGTGCGTTGGCCAATTATTTTAAAATGAAAAGCTACCGGCGGCATCTTTTACTCCTTGCGCAGCTTCTGCAACCGCTTCGCCGGCTGCCGCCGCTCCTTGTTTGGTTTTGTCAACTGCTCTTCCTGAAAACTCAGTATTGTTGAAGAGATATTCATTATTTAATTAGTATTCGACCACCAGTTACTGAATATCCAATTAACAGATATTTGGTATTAAATAATTAATGCTTCAATAATTATCGAAAATTTCAGTCATACCGGCAGCATCTTTTACATCATGTGCAGCGCCTGATACTGCTGAACCAACATTCTCCGCACCCTCCTTGATCTTACCAAACGCTCTCCCTGCGTGATCACAGTATAATTACTATTACTGTATTATTATTTATTATAAAAGCAGGTTTCTCCAATAAGTTCATTTTTACTAATTTTTAACGAAATTTTTGAGCCAGTTTAGCATAATGAATTTTTTTGTAACCTATTCACCGCCAAAATTTGGGAATGTTTTTGGAGGAATGGAGCTTTTTCGAAATCATCTGACTTTTATTTCAGTTTTGCTTCCTCTTTCTCCTCCCCCCCCC